CCTAAGCCCCTGAAGCCCTAAACCCTAAACCTTAAGCCCCTTAAACCCTACACCCTGACCCTTTTGTCTCTTTCCTTCCTTTGTCCTTTTCCTTCCTTTGTCCTTGAAAGAGACAAAAAAAAGCCTACACCCCTAAGCCCTAAACCCTAAACCCTTAAACCTCTAATCCCTAAGCCCCAAACCCTAAATCCCGAAACCCTAAAGGCCCCTAAACCCGAAACCCCTAAACCCGTGAACCCTACACCCACACAGAGGCTCTACATGGAGATCGCCAACTCCAACTCAGCCCTGCGCAGTGGCCACGCCCTGAGGCGGGTGCCCGGTGTCTTCCGAGTTCGCGACGTGGTCTCCTTCCGTTTCTAGGCTCCCAAGTAGTACCCCTAAACCCGAAACACTATTTAAACCCTAAGCCCCTAAACCCTAAACCCTAAACCCTAAACCCTAAACCCTAAACCGATACAAGGAAAAAAGGGTACCTGTTTTTGAGTGGATGCTGGGGAACCGAGGTTTCCATGGCGTCCCTGATGAGGCACGGAGGGCGGGCATTTCATGAAACGCCTCTGCCGGCTCAGGGTTGCGAGGTTGAGGGGTTTAGGGCTTAGGGTTTAGGGGTTTAATGTTTAGGGTTTAAGGTTTAGGGTTCAGGGCTTAGGGTTTAGGGGTTTAGGAGTTTAGGGCCTAGACTTCAGGTTTGTAAGAACTCGTCTCGAAGCCCCGAGGTGTACTTGAACGGGCAGCTGTGCATCAACAGGGACCTGCAGATCTTTAACTATGGTCACGAGGTAGAGTATCCTTGGCGATGGTATGACCCGATGCTTGGCCGCTTCGTTTACAGGCAGCAGCAGCCACCGGAGGAGGAGGAGGAGAAGAAGACCGGCAAGGTGGTTTGGGAGAGGTTTGTCAATTCGCAGAGTCTCTGAGGCAATTTGGGAAAATAGTTGGTGTCACTCAGTATATTTGGTGCTACTTCATAAGTAAGCTTCTGAGACTACAACGAAGGAATGGTGGAGGCAAGCTTAAAGCCGAGGATACCCCGGGCACGGAGGCGTTTGTGAAGAAGCGGGAGCAGTTCTACGCTGTGGGAGTCGTCGAGAGCGTGAACCCTCACACTTGCACCGTGAGCATCGTGATTGTAGAGAACGATGCGACAATGGGCTCGGCCACTGCACCCTTAACAAACAAGTGGGGCAACTGGGCTGTATGGTTGACAATGCACAGCATTTGCTTTGTCGTCGTTAGATGTTTAAGTGCTATTGATCCTTCCGTGTCAAAGACGGTTCTCGACTGAAGTAGGTGAGTGGGCTTTCAACAGCGAGCAGCATTCTTCGGGACTCAAAGCGACGCTGTACAAGAACATTCCCATGGAGAAGGCGTGCATCCACACCCTAAGCCCTAAACCCTAAACTCTAAACCCTAAACCCTAAATTCCCATGGAGAAGGCGTGCCTCCACGGCTACGAGGGCTTCGTGGCGCCCTACGACCACCCGCCGCCTGCAGTGTACAAGCCGGTTCCCGGCCACTACACCGCGGAGGAGTTCCTGGCCGAATGTAGGAAGCCATAGTACCAGACCCCTGAATGTGTGAGCGTTTCTTGAAGTGCCTTAACCCTAAACCCTAAAACCTAAATCCTAAACCCTAAACCCCAAATCCTAAATCCTAAACCCTAAACCTTAAACAAAAAAACTAAATCCTAAACCCTGATATCCTGGACCACCCTAAACCATAAAGCAAAAGCCCTGGAGCCTCGAAACGTTAAAGGCCTTAGACCCTAAACCCTAAGTCAGGTTCCTGGCCTACGACGTCACCAAGGATTCTCCGGTGGAACTCTTGAAGCTCCTGGAGAACGGGGAAGAGGCCCCTTGTCTAAGAAAACTTGGGGGTTTTGGATTTAGGGTTTAGGGTTTTTTCGGATTACAAAAAAAGCCCGCGAGGGGCTCTATGAAAGAGTACTGCCCTACCCATAGGCCCTAAGGTAGTTCCTTTTTGGGGTTCATATTTAGAATCCTATAAGGTAATCCCCAAAAAGGAACGTCTATGGGGCCTATGGGTAGTGGGCTGGGATCCTATTATAATTTACGGTATATTCCTTAACTAAGGGGTTTTGGAGTCTCTGCGTAGTTACGAGGTGGAAGGCCTCACCCGGCAGAAGTTGGCCTGGCTACCAGAGCGGCCCCTGCTCCAAAAAGAGGCCGCGGGTTTGGGATCTCTGATTTAGGGTTTGGGATGGGTTTAGGCTTTAGGGTTTAGGGTTGAGGGTTTTGGGTTTAGGGTTTGGGGTTTGGGGTTTAGGGTTTGGGGTTTAGGGTTTAGGGTTCACGGTTGTTGGTTGAGAGTGGGGTAGTCAGAAAGATGAGAAGATTCATGTCAAGATGTTCATGATAAGCTGTGGCCTACCATGGGAGGAGCTTTGCAAGAATTTTCCATACATGTTCAGTGGTCTGCTGCCCTCTCTAGTATCCATCAGACAAACTTACCCCTAAACCCTAAACCCCAAATCCCAAACTTAAGCCCCAAAAACCTTCAAGCATAAAAGGCCCGAGTAACATACGGGCCTAAATAAGTACCAATACTATTTGGGGTTCCTTAGTATAGATATAGCATAATGGGCCCCAAAACCCTAGGGGTGGGGCAGAAGCCCGAAACTTCAAATGCCTGAAAACTTAAACCCTAAAACATAGTATGGAGGGCCCGTTGTAATTCAAACAGAGCTTTACACCCCAAATGACACGTTCAGCTTGTTTCGAAGAGCGCGACTAGCAATCACAGTGGCAATAGACAAAATAAGCACAAGAAAGAATAGTCATGAATAGTTTCTGAAAGGTAGCAATGCTACAAAGGATAATTTGAAAAAATCCTATTATGCTTAACATAAGTTTTTGAGATCCGGGTCCAAAGCTGGGGCAACCCCCGGTGCCAATTTTGTGGTTTCGCTGGGCCGGTTTTAGGATTTGGTCTCGTGCCTGGCCCCGCCTCGCCGCCCCTACCCTGCGCCCCAAACTCCGCCCCGCCCCGGCCCCCGCCCCGCACCCCCCCACGCCGCCCTGCCACGCCCCGCCCCGCTCGTGTTCCTGTCCTGCTCCGGCACCCCCCCTGCCCGCCGTTTTGAGGGGTCTGACAAAGCTTGTGAAAATTGCACACCAAGCGTGCATGCAACCAGTCCGCAAACTAGGACAGTGTTAAGCATAACGAGGCCACCCAAACAAATGGATCCGGAGCGCTTTAAGCCTGCACCATCGGTGTGCATCCAACCAGCCCCCAAAAATAGGACAGTGTTAAGCATAAGAAGGCCACCCAAACAAACGTATTCCACTAGGTTCGCGCCGAAAAGCCTTGATTCCCGCACCAACGTCCAGCCAGTAGGCGTGCACCGAAAAGTCGGCCAGTGTTAAGCATAATAGGCCCTTTTCAAAGAATAATATCAAGACAACCAAACTAAACCCTGAACCCCTAAAGCCCTAAAACCTTAACCCTGAACCCCCGAAGCCCAAAGCTCCAAAACCCCAAAACCCAAAACTCCAAAATCCTGAGCCCAAAATCCAAAAACTCAAAACCCCAAGAACCACCACCGAAGAGCAGCGCAGCTCCCTGGAGGCTCCATCTTCGGAGCAAAGCTCCGTTCTCGAAGGCTGGGAGGTTCTTGGAGCCTCAGCTTTCTGCATGGTTTTAGGGTTTAGATTTTTTTGGGGTTTAGGGTTTCGGGTCGAGGGTAAAGAGTTTAGGGTTTAGGGTTTCAAAGCTGTAGAATTTTGCGAGTTTCGAGGTGCAGAGTCCTTTGAGAGGGTTCAGGTTGTAAAATTTTGCAAGGCTTCCACTACCGGGCGGCCAGTAGGGTTTGACAAGGTTTGCGGTCGAGGGCTTTGGGTTTCGCGGGTTTCAAGGTTTCAGGAATATGGTAGTACGACTTGTGGAAGATTCCTTCATTAAGGCCCTTCCACTTAAAGTTAAGTTACTTATAACCATACTTACTAAGTCCCATGATCCTCCAAACCCTAAACCCTAAACCCTAAACCCTCTAAGGAGACGGCTCGAGCCTCGAAGGCTCGGAGCTGGAGCTTTGGTCGCTTTGCGAGAGCGACAGCTGGGACTTGGTCTCCCGGGCATCTCAAAGCAATCGCAGCTTCGAGGTGGTGAGCCTGGGACGTTTAGGAAAGGGTCCTGTATACTCCTTCTGGGATTGAGGGCTTTTGGGTTCAGGGGCTTTAGACTTTAGGGTTTAGGGTTTTAATCTTCGGGTTTTGGGGGTTAGGGCTGCATGGGGTCTCCTATTAAGGCTAGGAAACGGCGTGCTCCTATTTTAAGTATTTAAAAACGGGCTTTCTGGGGCACCTAGGAGTGTGGTCTCCGAGCAATCCGGCTCCTTGTCCCACTCCTTTCACGCGGCTGGGCTCTTGTTTAGGAGCTCGATGACTTGCCTTCTTATCGCGGCTTCTCAGGTCCACTCGATTGACGCCCTTCGTAAGACCCTACTGATTCCGAGAGCTCATTCACGCCCGGTTGTCCAGTAGTACCCTCATCTCCTCTCCTTTAATCACCCTAACCCCTAGTAACCTACCTGCGTGAGGACCAAAATAAAGAAGTCATAATGGGGAACCCTAAAAAGGTAGGTTATTGGGGTCCAGGTAGTGCAGGTAGGGAGTTGCCCTTAGTTTGAAGGGTTTACTGGCTTGTAAGACCCTTGACATTGAATCATGTAGTTTCCTCAGCCAGCGAAGAAACTTTCAGTTAAATCCGCATATAAGCTTAAACAAATACCACTATCATTCCTCAGGTTTCCTTCCTATAGTTCTACTATCAAGGAAGCCCGATACAGTTTTCTAATTCTCGGTTTGAAAAGTGTCCTTTTTTCCCCACGAAGAGCACGAGCCCAGGTGGTGCCCAGCGGTCTCTCCGCCCTGAGCTCTTCTCTGGGCAGCTACGACCTCGTGCCCTCGCAGGCGCCTTCCCAAGCCGGCTCCGTCGCTTCGAGGAGCCCAAACATCACCAAAACGGCCTCTGATGCGAGGGCCCTGCCTTATAGGCTTTCACAAGGGCTGTATGTATGGGGGTCTAGATAGGCATCAGCAGGGCGTCATGGCGGTTTTTGTTGAGGTTTCGTAGGGTTGTTTGTGGAGTTTGATTTGGGCTGATTCAAGGCCTCCAAACAAAAGAACCCTAAACACTGAGGGGGCTCGATCAGTAGACTCGCGCTCCTTGTGGTAGAGAATAGGATTAGGTTTTGTCAGGGTAGTGTGATAGGTTGAGTAATTTGAGAGGGATGTTGCCGGGGTTTACACTATACATAGTAAATGGGCTCTGAATACTATGTGCCATTGCTACTCATTCAGACCCTTTCAAGGAACACTTGGGGGAAAGAGGGGTCCTTGAAGGGGGCTTCCGGACATCATGAGTTTTGAGATCCTTGTACATACACTAAACCCCAAAGTAACCCCAAACCCCAACCCCAAAACCCAAAACCCTAAAGCCTAAACCCTAAACTCAAAATCCTAAACCCCAAAGTAACCCAAAACCCTAAACCCTGAACCCTAAACCTACATACACTAAACCCCAAAGTAGCCCAAAACCCCAACCCGGTCAGTATGAGGCCCAGGAAGCAGGATCTCCCATGATGAAATTCTCAGGCCCTTCTCAGCGCATGAAAGGGTTCAGGGTTTAGGGTTTAGGGTTTAGGGATGAAATTCTCCAACCCTTGGCGAAACCCATTGGGCAGGAATTCCTACACCCCAAAGCCCTAAAACTCTAAAACCTTGAACCCCAAACACCAGAATCCCTAAACCCCAAAATCCCGAGACCCAAAAACCCTAAACCCCAAACCCCCAAAAAGCCACTAAAATTGCCCCAAAAGCCCACATAAAATCCTGCAGGATCTCCGCGGCCTCCGAGCGGAGCCTCCTCACGCTCCGCAGCGCGCACCTTGCGCCCGAGAACTTCCCGGAAGATCGCGGCCACCCGGGGTCCTGGCAGCTGCTGGGTGCGTAAATATGAACCATGTAGGGTTTAGGGTTAGGGTTTGGGGTTAGGGTT